GGAGGAAGCCAGCGCGCACACGGTTTAGTTGCCCGAATCGTGTTTCCTAAAGAAACGAAACTGATCATTCTCTGAATTATTCTATGGATGAAGCTTATTATTCTAGCTAATAACTTCAGGCCGTTCCCAAAGGGAAATGGACTGAAGTTGTGCCCGGGGAGGTTTAGGTTAGATATTAGAAAAAGGGTTTTGCCCCAGAGGGTGTTTGGACACTGGAATGGTTTTAGTTTGGATATTGGGACAAGATTATTTCCTCCAGAGGGTGTTTGGGCACTGGAACGGGTTTACATCAGATATTGGGACAAAATTCTTTCCCCGGAGGGTGGTTGGGCACTGGAAAGGGTTTGGGTTGAATATTGAGACAAGGCTCTTCTCCCAGAGGGTGGTTGGAACACCAAGACAGGTTGAAGTTGGATATTGGGACAAGATTCTTCCCCCAGAGGGTGACTGGTCACTGGAACAGGCTTGGGTTGGATATTGGGACGAGGCTGTTCACCCAGAGGGTGGCTGGGTACTGGGACAGGATTAGGCTGGATATTGGGACAAGGTTTTGCCCCAGAGGGTGGTTGGGCACTGGAACAGCTCCCTAGGGAAGTTGTCACAGCCCCAAGCCTGACAGAGCTCAAGAGGCATTTGGACAATGCTCTCAGGCACATAGTGTGGTTTTCAGGGATGTCCTGTGCAGAGCTAAAAGTTAGTCTTGGTGATGCTCATGGGCCCCTTCCAACTCTGATGATTCTGTGATATCCTTGGTATTTTTGCTTAAAGCTAGTCTGGTGGCTTGTGTTCATGGGAAGCCTTAAAGGAAGAAAACTATGAACAGGGTTAAAACTTGTGTTTGGCCCTAGGAGCAATGCTATGCAAGTTATATGGCCAAAGTGTTTGTGGTGATGTGGTTTGTTATATGAATTGGTAAATAAACATGCAGCTATGGAGACCCCCTTTATGTCAGTGATGCCCCTGTCAAACTTGGCTTGATTCCAAGCTAAATATGCAGTCTTGGATACTGAGACCTTCAGATCGTTAACACAGCAAAATCTGTCAAAGGGCTGAGATTTCAAGCTGCTTTTCCACGTGGTGTGTAGCTAAAGGTCTGAGTTCCCAAAAAAAGGCTTAAACTAATGTCAGATCTGTGCTGGGTCTAAAAGGAGTGATTCTGAAATCAGTTGTGTATCTTGGTGTCTTGTGTTCCAGCACAGGAACCTGAAAGTTGGTTTAACACAGTAAAGCACAGGTTCTTTAGTACAGTTGTGTGGCTGCAATTGGGGTGGCTTAAAACATGAAATCATGTTTCGATATTATGCATGACGGTATTTGCATTTACAGTTTTGCAGCCTTGGTTAACTCTGTTCTGAGTTAGAGACAAACAGTCTTTGAAGAGGTAGGCAAGTACAGAGAGTCTGAAGGTAGTGATGCGTCATTTCTTGTCATTCAGTCAAAAAATTTCAACTATTGAATGTGTGCAGTTACTTAACTACTTGTATTGGTGTTGGGTTGCCAAGAGTAGCACAAAACCTTCAGTTATTGCTGAAGTTTGTAGAGACAGTTTTGATTGTGTGTTAGGTGAGTAAATATTTTGATGGATGAAAGAACAAGCTGCATCTGAAAATAATGAGCAGCTTCTGTGTTCTTAAACATGACGTCGCAGAGGACTTTGATTTCCTCTGCTACAAATACCTTTTATATTTTTTACTTATGCAAACAAGTAATCCATGCTTTTTCCAACTTTCTCTGTCAGGAATGTAGATTCTCATCCTGGAGAAGACATCACTTCTGTGACACTTGATTTAGTCCACTGAAAATGAAGCAAGATTCTACCAGAAACAGTGCTTACACTGTAGACTGTGAAGATTATGTACACGTGGTGAAATTCAACCCATTTGATAGTGGAGATGCATGTTCCCTCATAGCTTATGGTGGCAATAATTATGTCGTCGTCGGGACCTGCAGATTTCAGGTGAGTCTGTGTTATTGTTGGTTTTATTAGTTGCATCCTGAAACTTTGCCAGCAGCTCTGCTGCAGCAAGACCAGTCACTTTCCTGCTTCCTCCTTTTGCTATGTAAACAGGGAAGTTTTCTTGTTTGTTATATTAACAAGTTCTTCAGGAAAGTATAAAAATAGAAATAGATATAAATTACCACCCTGCTTGTGTAAACAGGGTGGTAGAATCACAGAATGGTTCATAGAATCACAGAACGGTTTGGGTTGGAAGGAATCTTAAAGGTCATCTAGTTCTAACTTCCACTGGAGCCTGTTGCTCAAAGCCTTGCAGAGATGGAGCATCCACAGTCTCTCTGGGCAACCTTTTCCCATGCCTCACCACCCTCAGAGTAAAGAATTTTTCCCTAGTACCTAATCTAAACCTGCCTCTTTGAGTTTAAAATTTTTACCTCTCATTCTCTCACTACACTCTCTGAGCAGACTGCAAAGAAATCTACTCCACTGGGACAGTAATCCCATTTTAGTATCTCTTGCTAATGTTGGTGTTTGCTGTCTCAGGACTTAAATGCAGAGCTTTGGAAATCATAGAATTATAGAATGTAAGGGTCTGAATGGGTCTTACAGATCATCTAGTCCCAACCCCCTGCCCTGGGCAGGGATACCTCCCACCAGAACAAGTTAATCAAGGTTTCATCCAGCCTGATCTTGAAATATGTAACTTAATCTTTGCTGTATATTGTTTATCATCCCTGGGTCATGGGCACATTTTTGCACAGTTATATCTTGTTCTACATACATTTGCTCTAAGATTGTTTCTAAAGCTTTCAGCCAGCCTGGGAAACAGCAAAAATTACAGCGACTTGCAACACTAGAACTGCTGTGTCTGTGCTAATTTTTTAGGTATTTCTTTTAAGGAAGGACTGTAGGAACAATTACCTAATTTTTATTTTATTTTCTTTCCCAGTTGTTTTTATTGGCTCTCCCTCACAGACTGTTGGAAGCAATAAAATATGTTTTCTTACCTTGAAATTGTTTAGAGTCATCACATTGTGAAAGTTTTTTGAATGTAAAATACTGAGTACTGTGTATTTTTATACTGCAGAAGATGGTTTTAATTAGATGGGCTTTTTGCCTAGATGATTGAAAATCAATTGGAGACAAGTCTTTGGAATTTCTAAGCTTTTTTTCCCTTCGTCTTGCTTCTCTATTATTATTGTTGTATGCTGAATAACAGCATAACTGGTATTTTGGTTATTATCATTCCCCAGAGTCTTACTGTTGGAAATATTCTGAAAGGCACCTAGTGCTAAACACAAAAACACTGTCCTGTGTTTCTCTCTGCCTAGTTGCTGGTGTAGGCCTTGAAAGGTAAGGCATTGAAATTTTGACAACCACTGGTACACGGTAGTTTTTCTCTAATTTCCATATCCTCCTTTCCATATGTGGAGTTATTGACTGTTTCAAAGCAGGGGAGGAAAATGCTATTCTTTCTCCCTGTTGAGAAGCTTTGAAACACTGGGTAATCTCCTGCATCCTCACCTAGGTACTGCTTGGCCTCCATGTTAGGCAGAGGTTCCTTGCCTTAAAGCAGAATTGTGACCTAGAGAAAACTTTGTGGAAATATTCTTTGAGGTGCTCCATTAGATGTTTTGTAAACTTAGGGAAGTTTTCTAGAGGTCAACTGCTGAATGGAATCTGCAAGCCCAACCCTTTCCTTTGTCCCACCATCCAGTGTTCTCACCAGACGGAGGAATAAACAAGATTGTAGTTGTGGTTAGATGACAGAGGGAACCTTTGCAGCTCCTGCTGTGTGTAGAGTGTTGTTCTCAAAATGCTAGCTAGCATTCTTCCATAGTGTAAAAGCACCTCAGAGAGAAGATAGCTTAAATGACATACTTGCTTTTGCTCCCATTGTTTCCTCTTTACTATAAGGGTGGTGAGACACTGGCACAGGTTGCCCAGGGATGTGGTGGCTGCCCCGACCCTGGCAGTGTTCAAGGCCAGGCTGGATGAAGCCTTGAGCAACCTGATCTAGTGAGATGTCCCTGCTCAGGGCAGGGGATTGGGACTAGATGATCTGTAAGGTCCATTACAACCCTTAAATTCTATGATTCTCTCACTGCAGTGTGTGCTTACCATGCTGTTACAAGTGGCTTTAGTTGTATCTCTGAAGGTACTACTTGGACAAAGAAGGAGCTCAGCCTCTTTGTAGCTCAGTTCTGGTTTTTGTGCTCTGCACTGGCCTCTGGCTCCAGGCTGCAGTCATTTAATGTGTACTTAAATATTGCAAGTGAATACTTTCTTTATGTTCCAGGTTTTCACTCTGAGGCTGTTATGATCTAAAAATATCCCAGATATGTGGCATTTTGAAAGCCTTTCCATTTCATGTCAGTCTGATTGTTTAGGAGTCATCAGGACCCTGTTCTCAATTAGCTGACCACAGTGTTTCCCTAGGAGGAGGATGCAGAGGTGGAAGGCATGCAATATAAGACACTCAAAACCTTTCACCATGGAATCCGAGTCGATGCCATAGCGTGGAGTCCTGAAACTAGACTTGATGCTATTCCTCCCCAGATAAGGTACTTGTAATAAATGACTACAGTGAATCTTTGTCTCTCATCTGTTTTCCCTAATTCCTTAATATTGGACTGCTCAATTAGTCTAACTCTTTAGAAATCACTGATGAAGTTTTTGAACACTTTGGTGGAACAACATTTTAATCCTTAGAGTCATTCTTTTGTTTTGTTTGTTTGCTTTCTGTTGTTCTTCTTGGGCCCTTTGCCCCTCCCACCAGTCAACTAGCAGTAAATAATATATTTTTCTTTATTCATTATTTTCATGGACCTAAAATGTAGTTAATTCATTCCTTGTACATCTCTGAAGAAGGAATTCTCTAAGAACTTTACTAAGAATGAGACCACTGTAATGGTCTGCATAGCATGGGCTGTGGTTAGGAGTAGGTCAGATCCTGTTTGTGAGACCCATTGAGGTATAAATCCAGAACGACAATGAGCTATGGAATGTGCACTTAAGAGTTAAAATGTTCTCAATAGCTTGTATGACTCTTCAAGGTTATGAGAGTTGTTTACTGTTGCATTTTTGTACAGTCTTTTGGTTAAACTGTGTTAGAAATTGGTTTATGAATATTATGTTTCAGTATTTTAGTTTGCTGATAATGAGGGTTCTTCTTTATGCTCTACCACTTAACTTCTTCCAAGGGAAGTTTGAGTGGCTCTTATGAGAGATATTTCAGGTAATTGATAATTGATCCAGATTTAGCTTTCTAAAATGTCTTGCATTTCTTTCTATGAAAATGTATTCTTAGCACCACATATAAAACTATTTTACAGACAAGTCCCAATTATAACTCTGCTTCCTGCCAAAGCAAAAAATTAAGGTAGATCCTTCTGGGTTTTTTCAATATCTTCTCTTTCCTTTACATGTCACTTTGCAGGTGTAAACTGAAGGAAAACTGATAAAAAGTAGCAATGTTGATTGACTGACAGGCTTTTCTTTGTGTGTTGAGTGTAGGTTTTGCACTGCAGCTTCTGATAGGAAGTTAAGGCTATTTACTTCAGACCTGCAGGACAAGAATGAATTCAAGGTAAGGGCAACTAAGCTGATTTTTAAAAGATTATTTAGTGAAGTCTAACTGTCCTTCTGGCCCCTTTTGTTTTATATACTGTATGAGGTAAAGCACAGAATTGTGGCAGATCCTATATCCATCATCTCTAGGGGTAATCATTGTGTTCTGTATACCTTTCTGTCTTTAAAGTGGGAATTACTATCAACTACGAGATCTTTTGATTCCCTTCAAAATTCTTCCTTTGAAGCAATGTCCCAGTCCAAGTGCTGCTATGAACTAAGTATTTGTGCTGTCCAGTTTGAATTTGCTTTGGTGTGGTCTCAGCTAAGAATCCACAAAGCTAATTAAGACACAGAAAAATGCGGGAGAATGTTCCTTGGTTTTTACTGCTTTAGAATATGGTAATGCTTCTTTTGGTGAGAGTGGTTTATTGGGTATAAAGGAGAAAACAATAGACTTGTATTTGTGGTTTGGTAATTTGTATTAGTAAGGAAGTGACATTTGTCGTACGGAAGGTAGGGGAATTGTGGATGTCACACGTGATGTGGCCAAACTAGAATGGATAAAGGCCTAAGGAGTAAAGGTGGGTATTGCTAAAAGCAAAATGTCTTTAAAGGAAATGCTTTTTGTGTTGTTTCATGCCTTTGATTTCCTTCTTTCAACTTTGGTCACTTTACATGGCTTTGCCCCTTGGGCAGTGGGACAACTGATGCAGTTACAGTCAGCTTGGGTGGCATTTCATAGAATCATAGAATTTAAGGGTTGGCATTACATTACCTCTTGTCCTATCACTGCAGTTCCTCTCAAGAGTCCCTCTCTGGCTCCCTTGTAGGCCCTTCAGATATTGAAAAGTTGCTCTGAGGTCTCCACACAGTCTTCTCTTCTCCAGGCGGAACAGCCCCAACTCCTCAGCCTGTCCCCACAGGCGAGATGCTCCAGTCCTCTTATCAATTTTGTGGCCTCCTCTGGACTTGCACCTCTTGTCCTATCACTGCAGTTCCTCTCAAGAGTCCCTCTCTGGCTCCCTTGTAGGCCCTTCAGATATTGAAAAGTTGCTCTGAGGTCTCCACACAGTCTTCTCTTCTCCAGGCGGAACAGCCCCAACTCCTCAGCCTGTCCCCACAGGCGAGATGCTCCAGTCCTCTTATCAATTTTGTGGCCTCCTCTGGACTTGCTCCAACAGTTCCATGTCCTTCTTATGTTGAGGACATCAGAACTGCACACAGTATTCCAGGTGAGGTCTCAGGAGAGCAGAGCAGAGAGGAAGAATCACCTCTTTTGACCTGCTGCCTACACTCCTTTGGATGCAGCCCAGGATTCCATTGGCTTTCTGGGCTGAGCTCACACTGCGGCTCATGGTGAACTTCTCATCCACTGCCACTCCCAAGTGACAGGCCTGTCATCTTTAGTAGACATATCCTCTTAGGCAGTTTACATGCTGACTGCTTAGAAAAGAGCATGTGCTGGATAAGTGGCCAGCGTATTGCTCCTTCAGGAAAAACTCCCTTCCTTCTTGCAGGAACTCCTAGTAAAATTTACTTTCCAGAGATCAGAGTTGTTAACCAGTAATCAGAGTTCTTTAAGATAGGCAGATCATGCATGTATTCACTTCCTGCTCATTATCCTCTTTCTTCTGAGGTTTTTTTCTCTTCTACCTTCAAAATTCAGTGGTTGAAAGAAGGATACAAAGTTCTGGTGTAATTCACTGATCCCTGTCAAGCAGAAGTATCTGTGGTAGCTACTAGGAATTGTGGGGGAGTCATTTCACTCAAAGTATGACTCTACAAATGAATTGGATATGTTAAGGAAATCCAGTTAGCAAGAAAAACAGTTTTTACCTTTTATGTAAAATGATAGATTTGTCTTAACACTTAATACACCTTTCCTTTAGAGGGTCTGTTAAATGCATTGTGATTAGAAAGAATAGTGAGCTCTAAGGTAAAAGTATTTCTTTTTTCTGCTTGACAGACTTTTGATGGCCACTCAGATTACATTAATGACCTGGTGTTTGCTCCCAGTGAAGGTCAGGAAGTTGCAAGTGTAAGTGATGATCACACCTGCAGGTATGCATTTTGTTCCAAGTACTATTGCAGTTGTAGTGTTTGGCTTTCTGTGTGTGAATGCTTGACATGTTCACTTAAATATATTTAGTTTTTTATTTCTGTTGGGCTTTCACAGCTCACTGTCATGACTAGTCCACTAACAAGACAAGAAATCGATGAGTCTTGTTAATTGAGATTGTAAACCTGCTTTTTGTTGTGACCTCTGTGTTGGATTTTTTTCAATATTTTGAACTGGCTAGATTCAGTGTGCAGAAAACTGTTCTGTCTTGGAATTACATTGACTAATTTTTGCCCTGCTGGGACAGGAATAAAAGCTATGAGCTCAGCATTGAATTGCACAGAGCTTTTCTGACATCAGATGAGTCGAGTTTAAAACCAGTGTATGTATGTGAACTTGCCTGCTTACCCAAACTTACTCGCCTGAATAGGAGGTGGGATGGTATAGCCTAAAGACAGTGCCATACTAATACAGTGGTACTGGCAGCTCAGAGTACCACAATTATAGCTGCTTCAAACCCATGTGTTTAGGCATCTATAACTGCAGGTGAAATGCTGTGAAAATTGCTGGTTATGGTTTGGTAGTACAGGAGCTTTTCCTTATCAAAAAGTCACCCATCTTCCTCTTCTGGTAGTGCTCATGAGTCAATGGAGCTGCTGCTCTTATCCCCCCAGTGCAGCTGGGGAGGTCAGGCAGCTCTGCAGGCTTTGCAGAGAGTGACACATTGTAAAGCTACAAACAATAAGGATGTTTGGAGAAGAGTAGACAGTAGTTTAGTATAAAATCGTTATAACACAAGTAAAGTTTCAAGATCTTTGAATGGGAGACAAAATGCTCAGTCTTTCTGGGTTGACTTACATGATAGGAATGTGAGCAAAAGTAGAAGGGGTTATTTTTAGCATCTGTAGCTGATTTGGTTATGGTTACTGAGTAATTGCGTACTTGAAATCCAGTTTGGCTAAATTTTTGGTCTTTGCACATTTTTATTTGGGTTATTCAAAAGAAATACTGCAAAGAGTGAATTGAACACATGTAATTATATAGACCTGATGCATTCAGACAAGGATCTGGTTTAATATGTATTGCCTGGTTGGATTTTTGCTTTTTGGTTTGCTGGGGTTTTTTCCCTCCAAAACTAGGTTCTACAATCTTTGGTATCAGTAAAGAAAGAAGAAAGTACAAGAGGAGCTTTTATCCTTCCCTCCCCCCATGCTGTTTGTGACTAACAGTCTTGCCATTCTTACAAAGTAGAAGATACAAGTTTGGCATTTTATGAATAACAAAGTTAGGGAGGTAAACGAGCATAAATTTCTGTCTCGGTACCTTATAACCTCACTCACTTCGGGGAAGGAAACATGATGGCATGTCCATTCTGCCAAAATGATTCACCATCTTCTGTTGTATCATAATTTTCTCCCTGCACAGTAAATACACATGGAAAGTGTTGATTTGACTTGGACAAATCTACAAGGCAAAATTTTTTGGCAGTAGAAGAAAGTATTGTATGTTTCTAAATTACCTAATCAAGTAGATATTTCATTTTTTAAACAGTTGTCAGGTTTTTGTTTGGACTTTTTTTTTAATAAGGACATTGATTCTTCAAGATTAGAGACCCTGTGTTTTCTACAGGGAGAACAAATATTTGATCTGTTGTGGTTTGGCATAAGAAAACAACATTGTTCATGAAACATATTTACTTTATTCCCATATATTTTGTCTAGACTCATGATGTATTATTTAAGAGTTTTTTGAAATCCTTTCAGTGTAAGGCTCTGAGCACCCTGGTGAGATATAAACTGACAAAGTCTGGAGAAGTCAGCAAAAATCCTCCAGAACAAACAATAATAGTGTGTAGCCACTCATTTAGCTCAGAGGACTGGGCAGAACACTGCTTTAAAAACTGAGTGTTTCTGAGGTTTTGTGTCAGGGAGGAAGGACATATCTGTGTGTTTTGGTGTCCAGGTGCAGCCTGGTGGCTCAGACTGATGTTCACATCTGTGATGTCTTTGTCCTACAACTGAGCTACTGATTTTGCAGAAAAAGAGGCAGTTGAGCAGTTGCTGTGAGATGAAATAGGCTCAGTTTTGGTTTTGTTGCACTTTATAAACAAAGTGGCTTCATGGCTCATTAACACTCCCATTAAATGCATCCAAAAAAACCTCACTCATCACCTAACCTAGTTTTGCTGTTTCAGCATACACTTCCCTGTCAATCCATATTGACCAAAGATTGTTGATTGCTGCAATTTTTATAGCTGCTTGATACATACTGTAGGTGCTTCTGAAGGAAAAGATTAAACTGGCACATATGATGTGTTTGTGGGAAGCTTGCCAAGACCCTTTGTGGGCTAGTGTTGCTTCTGCCACAGATCCTTTTTGTTTGCCTTAGCTTCATTTCTGGTTTCTTATATTTCCATTACTCAATCTTGTCTTACCAGGAAAAACTGGAAACCAAAACACTTTAGTGCATGGTCTTGTTCTTTACATGGTGATGTGGTTGATTTAATTTGCTTTGTACTTCACTCTGGGTTCATCAGCTGCTCTACCACCGACTGACTCTCCTGCTTTGTCCTCTCTCACTGTTGTTTATGGTGTAGTGTTGACATGTGAAAATAGTAGGAACATCTCATCAAGATTTCATGTCTAGGTAACTAAAATGGTCGATTCAGTTGGATATAATTTCATAGAATCATAGAATAATCAAGGTTGCAGGAGACCTTTAAGATCATCAAGTCTAACTGTTAATCTGTCACTCCACTGTAACCCTTAAACCCTAAACCATATCTTCTAATAAAACACAATGACTTTCACATCAAAAAGAGTGTGGTCAAAGGAGGTGGTTCCCCCCTTCTACTCTGCTCTAGTGAGACACACCTGGAATACTGTGTGCAGTTCTGGCATCCTCAACATAAGGACAACATGGAACCATTGGAGCAAGTCCAGAGGCGGCCACAAAGGAACTGCAGTGATAGGACAAGGGGTAATGGGTTCAAATTGTAGGACTGAACTGAAAATTAGAGGAGGAGAAATTAAGGCTAGATATTAGGCAAAACGTTTTTACTGTGAAGGTGGTAAGACACTGGAAGAGGTTGCCCAGGGAAGTAGTGGCAGTGTTCAATGCCAGGCTGGATGAATTGAGCAGCCTGGTCTACTGGGGAGGTTCCCTGTCCATGGCAGGGGGCGTTGGGACTAGATGATCTGTAATGTCCATTCCAAACCCTAAAATTCTATGAAATTCTATGATATTCAAACAGTCTCTGCCTAGCTCATCCATATTACAACACATTATCTGTGCACTGACCACTCTTACTAACTTACCAAAATGATGCAACATGAACACTACGTTTTTTGGTCATTTCGTTTTTATTAAAGTACTGGAAATTAATGTATTTGCAGTCAAATGGCAATAGATTAATGCTTGACCTTTTGTTTTTTTCCATCTCTTCAGGGTCTGGGATTTGGAAGGCAATGAGAAGGCCCATTTTGTCCTGCGCTCTCCTGGAATGAGTGTTTGTTGGCATCCTGAGGAGGCTTTTAAGGTTGTGGTTTTCAGCTTTTCACCCTCACTATCTTTCAGATAACAGGAGGGAGGGGCTTATCTAAACTATGAACCTTTGATGCTTTAGTAACAGTGAAGTTTGGGGAGTTAGTGTACATTGTAACTGGATATTGGTTGGATCTGCTAATGTGAAGTGACTGTAAATGAATTCTCATTACCATTCTTGTCACTTTACCCTCAGTCCCTAACTCCCATCAGGAATATTCCTTCTTGATCACATACATCAATTGTTGATAACTATCCTGCTGACTGCATATTAACTTACAGTTACCAGAGAAAAGCTCAAGTTTTCCTCAGTCATGGTAACACAGTTCACCAATAACATACTCCTGCAGAGCATGCTAAGCTTTGAAAAGTATCTGTTTGAAGTTAGCAAGGGATTTTTTTGTTGCTGCTCATGCTGGGAATATATGAAATGTGTCCTGAAAAATCAAATCAATAAACTGTGATCTTATACTTATCTCTTTATTGTACTGGGGAGGATTAATCAGCTGATAAATACCAAAATATCCAACTTCATTAATGGTCTAGTCCCTGCAGTGTTGGATTTATTATTCCTGTGTGCCAATCAATAACTGCCTTCAGCAGATACAAATAGCTGTTCAGGTTACCACAAAAACCACACTTAAAGCAGAGAAAAGCAGTAAAATAAGGTATCAAAATATTTACATAGCAATAGGGAAGAAGGATCTCTAGTCCCATCACACTTCCCACCAATATCAATATCTGGTCCTCACGGAAAAAGCTCAGAAAGCTGTTGATTCAGGTGGAATCACAGCTGAATGTGTTAGCTGCTGTTTGCTACTGGGAAGCTTTGTTAGCACAACAAAAGGACTAGATTTGCCCAGAAGTATTGCAATAGCACACCAATCCTGCACATTGTTTGGCAGGTCTTGTCATTGAGCATTATGAGAGACAGGCCCAGGATTTTAGTGGGTTTTTTTTAAAGAAAAGCCCCTTTAAAAACCTCATAAAACTATAAAGACTTCATTGTTGCTAAAAAGCTTATTGTAGGTCAAAATGCTTATTGCACCACGTCCTTCAGTTTGCAGAAGAGCTTGTTTTGATTATACTTGTGTTTTTCCAAACAAGCTTGCATGTTATTGGAGTTCTGAGTTTAATGCTTCTTTGCCTTGCTTAATTATTGTTCATGGCTATCTGAGAACCATTTCTCCTCATGATCATCATCTGAACACTGGAGTAGGTCGCCCAGAGAACCTGTGGGTGCTCAATGCCTTAAGTGATCCAGACCAGGCTGGATGGAGCCCTGAGCCACCTGATCTAGTGGAAGGTGTCCCTGTCCACAGCAGAGGGACTGGAACTACATGATCTTTAAGGTCCCTTCCAACCCAAACCTTACATGATTTAATCAGGAATCTCTTTCTACAATGCTCAATTAAACAACTGTTTGAGTGTATTACTTTAATGGAAAAAGTTTAGATAAAATCTGTTGTGAACTATTACAGGATGAAGTAAGAGTTGTTGTATAAAATCAGTGAGTGCAAATCCAGATTCTACAGTTACTGTTGTTTAGCATCAGAGAATCATGTAGGTTAGAAAAGACCTCCAAGATCATGAAGTCCAACCTTTGACCGATCACCACAATATCAACTAAACCATAGCATTAAGTCCATGTCAGTTGTTTCTTAAACACCTCCAGGGATGGTGACTCCACCACCTCCCTGGGCAGTCTGATCCAGTGCTTGATAACCCTCTGTTTTTTACAGCACTATGTCTGTCAGCCAGTTCTTTGTACTCAGAACAAGAACTTTTTAAAAGAGTAACTTTTTGCTTGAAAATTCTAATAGCACAGTGCATTGGTGGTTAGGAACTGGTGTTTCTAACCACTAGAATGACATACAAAGATATCTGTAGATATAAAGAGCTACAATAATATAATCCTTATGTATAACAGTGTAGCAGGAGTATAGATTAAAGTGCTTTTTATTTGTTGGTGGAAGAGCATCCAGGGGAATGTCTTCTGGTACCAAATGAAAAATTGTACCTATTTTGATACTACTGATATTGTATTCTAGGTTTGCTGTAGAGTAGAAAAGTGAGCAAGTTTCATTTCATGTGAAGTTTACCGTGTTCTAATTTCTCTTCACAGCTGATGGTAGCAGAGAAGAACGGTACGATCCGATTCTATGATCTGATCACACAGCAGGCCATTCTGTCCCTGGAGTGTGAACAGACACCGCTCATGTCAGCAGACTGGTGTTTGAAAAATACCCTTAAAATTGGGGCAGTTGCTGGGAGTGATTGGCTGATCTGGGATATCACTCGCTCCAGGTATTTTTATACCTATGAGATAGGTTTCTTTCTTCTCTTCTTAATCACTATGTGAGGAGATGTAGCTGCTTGGCTAACACAGCACATCAGTCACTGCATGGGTCATCTGGCCCAACTTCCCTGCTCAGGCAGGGTCATCCTAGATCACATGGCTCAGGGTTGTATCCAGATGGTTCTGGAATACCTCCAGTGAGGGAGAATCCACGACCTCTCTGGGCAATCTGTTCAGTGACTGCACTGGGAAGAAGTTCTTCCTTGTATTCAGGTGGAACTTCCTGTACATCAGTTTCTGTTTCTTGTCCTATTGGTTGGCATCACCACAAGGACAGCCTGGTTCCATCTTCTTGGCACTCCCACTTCAGGTACTTACAGATATTGATGAGGTCCTCTCAGTTGTTCCTTCTCCAGGCTGACAGGCCCAACTCTCTCAGCCTTTCCTCATAAGAGAGATGCTCCAGTTGCTCAATCACCGTTGTAGCCCCAATGCACTATGTATTGTATAGAGTGTTCAGTAAAGAAATGAGCAATTATCGGGAGTTTTACCATATCAGTACAGACTATTACCTCCTATTCTTTGTTTCACCTTTATCTGTCAATACTTACCTGTTCAAAATAACCCTGTCTGTCTTTTTGTCCATCTGAGACAGCATCTCACTCCTGTTTACCTCTAAAATGTGAGTTTGATGTGCTTGTTAAAGCTTCATTCTAAGCTGCAGGAGTGATCTGGTTTCCTCTCAGCTGTTTTGCTGGGTAGACAATGTGTCCCCTTGACTGTTTAAATGATACATTGCACTTTTGGTGCTTAGAGTATAAGCTGCAATTGTTTGCAGAACAGATTTTACCCTGAATGTCTGTTTTAGTTACCCACAGGATAAGAGTCCCGTCCATGTCGATCGAGCCAGATTATTCAGGTATACGTGTTGTCTATATTCCATGGGGCTTGTCTGTATAAATATACCTATGTGCAAGCAGTTGTGAATTTAGGAACCTGGTTGTGTCTCTCTGGAATCATTTTTAGTGGGGCTTGGTCTATAAACTTGGTGAAAATTGTCAATGACCCACATTGAGTGTGTGTGTATATATATAGATATATATATAGATAGATATATATATGTAACATTCCAAAGGTTTTCTTCTGTTATACAACAATGTGCATATGGGGTTGGGGAATCATTTACAAGCCATTTCACTAGATTTATTTACCTGCTGCCAGTAGAGTATCTGGCATCTCACACAGTTGGTCTCAAGGGAGAGAATTTCCCTTTGTGTGCACTTGTGGTAGTATGATAGAGGTATTTGAAAAGTACATCCATTCCGTTCACAGGTGGTCCCGAGTGAACGAAAATCTGTTTGCCACCACTGGATATCCAGGAAAGACAACTACTCAACTGCTTGTTCATCATTTAGGACATCCCCAGGTAAATTTTGGAGTTTAGCTTTTCACTGCAGTTGCATGTGTTCTCCTCAGATCAGGCTCATAGATACTTAAAAGCTCCAGTTAAAAAACAGCCCAAACCATCCAGAAATGCTGCTTGGTGTACCTGTTTTACTCTGCTTTGTGCCATCCATGCTAAGTTAAAAAAAAGGCAGCACACTTAACCTGCTGCTTTTAAAGCTACTTGATCTGTAGGTTTCATTTCACTTTGCTGTATCATTGCTAAGGGGAAGAAAAACACCTTTAACCTGTTATGGAACAAATTGGTCAACACTTCTGATTCTAAGGAGGTTTAAAACAGCAACTTATGTATTTTACTGGTTTGAACTAATTAGATTTTTGAATCATTAGTGAAAATGCAAAGCATAGGAAGCATTTTGGTTTTGCTGGAGTCAGTAAACATGCTACTCCAGACACTAGTTATGAGTATGCTTAAATAAGGAATTGCATGTCAAAAGGTTTCTAATTTTGAAAGTATAAATAACCTTTAAAATAGTAATAATGGTTATAATAATAATGCAAACAGCTGAAAGTATCTGTTATCATGGAATATTTTGCTGTATGTCACTTAAATGGAGTAAGTAACTACTGGAACTAAGTAGCAACAATGACATTTTCCATTGGAATTTCTGTTGTGCTTTAACTGTGTTTAATTTGTTTGTTTGTCTATGCAACTTGGTGTATGAGATGTAGAGAAATAATTTCCAAGGGAAGTTGTACTGATATTTTTTTCTCTCTCTCTGTTTTTTTAAAGCCCATTCTTACAGGCACTGCAGCTGTAGGATCTGGGCTGACATGGCACAGAACTCTCCCATTATGTGCAGTCGGAGGGGATCATAAAATTTTCTTCTGGGTGACTGAAATGTAAAATAAGTATTTGCCTTCAGTACAAAATGTTACAGCAGAATGCCTGTTTTCTGGTGTAATGAAGAAATTTACTCTTTACAATGGTGTTTATTCACCTGGAGAACACAAGAAAGGAACATTAAGAGCTGAAATGTTTGTGTTTGATTTTTTTACCTTGCAAGTACAAGAGCTTTTGTAAAACTGGTTATTATATATCTGATACTTGGTTATTTCTCTTAAAATAAAATGTGCTTTTTTAAACCTGGTATTTGGTGTGAAATTAATTTTTTAAGGTTGTTTTTTTAAAGAGATTTTGTGTCCAGCAAGCTCAGCCTGGAAGTCCCACTCAGTCAGCAGAGCTCAAACACCCTGAAATGGTCAGAATACCTACAGAAACAGCAATCTCACTATTCACTTTCCCAACCATCACTGTCTTAGAAGAAAAAAATGCAGCAATGTCCTGTCATAAAATTTTGTCCCTGAATGTTTTTGAATAAACTAGTCACCACTGACAGTGAAGAACATAATGGTAAAATCAGAATGAAGCAGTATCATTTCTCTAAGATGACACAGGGATTTACCTCAAGCACATCAAACACCATGGTGGGTTTTCTCTTAACAGCCTGTTACAGCCTTTCTAGGAAACACAAAGCCATTCTGCTTTCCAGAAGCTTACTTTTACTGTCCTTCCCACACCAGGCCCAGAAATGAAGTGAGAGAAGAAAAAGACAGAGGTAACGCCTGTCTTCAGTACCTTTTTTTCAAGTGAAGTGATACCAAGATGTTCAGCAAGTGTTAATGTCTCCTTAACAGCCATCCTTATTAATAGGTAGGGTTTAAAATGTTCACTTGTTTGTCCCTGTTTGTGCAGGACATGTAAACCCAATTCAGAAGTAGGACATCAAAAAGTGAGATTTGCAACATAATTCCATATTTTATTTCTCATCATTCCTTATCCTTGAGAATTTTTTCTTTCCAACTGCCACTGAAATCTACCTGAAAGTCGAGTATAAAGTCCGTTGTAAGTTCCAGTCTTGACTGGTGTGTGCCTAAATGTGGATCATTTTCCTCTGCTCTCTGTTTTTCGCTTTTCATGCCCTGCATTTCCTGACTCCAGCTGGGAGGAAAAAGTGCTGTGTTGCACTTTTTAATGCAGTATTTTTGGGCAAATTAAAAGCAGGAAGTATCTGAAAGTTCACGGAAGAGCATATTCTTGTGAAATTTCTTATCCAGCTTTACAGACCATGAGATTCAGACAAGATCTGACTATGCATTTACATTATTATTTTGCTGTGCCATTGCCTGGAAAACTTGTATTATGGACACACTATGATAAATGAGATTATTCCTTGAGTATAACTCAGTGGAGGTTTTAAGATAAAGTGGCAAGATAATTCACTTTAAAAATTTGAACAAACAGCTCCTTTACCCAACACAAATTAGCACAAATCCTATAATTAGGAATTGAAAGCTAAACCTTCTGAACTTTGTATGCTAACCCTCTGTTCTTCCTTTGGAAGGGAAATTGCCAAAAACATGTCATTGCTCCAAAGCATAGGATGAGACACAGGTTGTTCAATAATTCAAGCAGTGTGGACAAAAAGCATTGTTATACTGTCTTAGTAAGGGAGTAATTATGATGTCCAGTGATAATGATTTCAGCCCAGAAAGCCAATGGAATCCTGGGCTGCATCCAAAGGAGTGTGGCTAGCAGGTCAAAAGAGGTGATTCTTCCCCTCCACTTTGCTCTTCTAAGATCCCACCTGGGGTAATGTGTGCAGTTCTGGTGCCCTCAATGTAAGAAGGACATGGAACTGTTGGAGCAAGTCCAGAGGAGGCCACAAAGTTG